GTGGGACCAACAGCAACAAAAGGCACAACAGTTCACAGTCACATCTCCAGAACATCTCTCTACATAACACCACTTACAAAAATTCTTGCTACCAACTCAGCAGCCCTGTGTACCTACTGCTCTGTGAAAAACCTGGATAGTCCAGTGCTGCTAATTCTAAATTATGAGCCATCCAACATCTGACAAGGACTCCACAGCGCTCAGAGGATCTGGCAGTTTGTCCTCGTTCAGCACCAGGATGGGGCCACAGTCACTGCTCAAACTTTTCAGTCATGAAATGGAACCTCTCAGTGCAGTAAAATCACATTTAAAAATGAAAAAAGATTGAAATCGATGATTTCTTATCTGCCTTTCCTCTAATAAGTCTGTAATTTGGCATTATGGAGGACTCTGAGAAAAGGCTGGGTAAATAACCAGTGCATTTCTAACAACAAATTTGCATATAAAATTAGAGAAATATTTGGATATTACGTTATGGCCTCATTAAGTATCCTTTAACTTCAACTGGCAGTGCAACAGAAATGCAACAGAAAAACATATTCTCGCCCATGGGTAATTACAATCTCCCTGCTTAAATTCCTAAGCACTTCTTTTCCTACAGTAATATTCACTTCTCTGTGTTTCTCAGACATGAGTGATTGCTCCTGGTTGAAGCCTCATGTTGTAAACATTTGTGTGCAGAGAGGATGAAAGCTCAGTAAGCAAGACTGGTTTGGAATAAGGAACTGGAGTTACATATCAATGGCACCAGAATAAAACCCCCCAGAAGCTGGCCTGCCCCTGTGGAGCAGTCTGAGCTTGCAGCCTCCAAATTTCCCTATCTATAAAGTTTAGTTATTTTCTCCCACCCCAAAATACTGAGGGAAAACAAGTGTTTACTTCCCCAGTCAAAATCTCCAGAAGACAAAGCGTTCCTCTAGGTTGTTTGTTTTTTTTTTAATTCCATACCAATGTTGTGCAAACTTTTTTTTAAAACCAGCCTCTTATCTTTCTTGCTGAGAAAGAATGGCAATTGCAGAAGTTTACACTGAGGGCAGTTAAAAAATCAAACATATAAAGCGCCATGTCTTTAAATATATGTCATTGATACACATAAACACAAGTGCTGCCAAAGGCCACGGAAGAAATAGCAAGACAAACAAGAACAAAAAAGGAAGGTCTTGTTTGTTCTGATTATCTAACCCACAGTCCTTCCATTTCAAGGCAAAAAATACACGGACCACGCAGTGAAAATGGGCTTTTGCCTTAACAAAGGAAGTGAGACATGATTAAAGAGCTGTAACACGAGCAGGAGGGAAGGTCAGGATTACAAAATTTGGTATTTTAGCCCCCCCTGATGACACAGTGACAACCTTGAACAGGGAGGAACACTGGGGATCTGCTTCCTTCCAGGAAGAAGGCTTTGGCAATGCCAGGAGAGACGTCAGGGCAGGACTGGAGCCTACCAGGATTCTTGGCCTACTGATCCCCAGGGCAGGGGAATTCCAGCTGTCCAACCACTCTATCCCTAAGCTAGAGCACAGTGACACCATCCTTCCTCCTCATTCCCCAAGCCAGGGCTTTCCTGACTTACTCAGGCTGTACACAGGGGACAGGATTTAAATCTTTTCTAATTTAGATTTCACTCCTGCTACCTGTGAGGTACCAGTGACCTCAGGAGGGGCTGTCACTGGGGTGAGACATTCAAGGGCTTTGAACTAATAATCTGAATTGCCCCAGCAATTGCTTCTGCCATTGACTGACACGAAAACACCTTGAATAACCTGCAGTAGCAAATGTAAGATGGTAGTAAATAACAAATAAAATAAACCAACACACTGAAAGTCAGGAAGAATATCCAGCTATAATTGCAAAGGGGATTTTACTAACAAAAATAATCACCAATGATGGAGAAATATTTCATTCAGAGTTGGAAAACATTAGTATAAGATTGCCCAGATCTTACATGGGCTCTTTCATCCACTGGTGTCAGAACTCCTCACAAATGGGTCACATTCACTACTCCTATTTTAAATTCCTTCAAAAGGAAGCATGAACAGGTGCAGTGATTTGCAGCAGGCTGTCCACATCTCTCTAGGACTAAGCCTGTACCTGTCCACTTGGGAATATCACCTCTTCAAGCCTTCCAGACACTCTTACTCATATTTTCTGAGATGAGAATTTCTCCATGAATCCAATCTTTCTCTCCCAAGTACAGCCCTTCTCCTGCAACCAGATCAACTGACACTGATCCCAAAGCCCAGAAGGAACTGCTCTGAAACCAGTGAGATTTCACAAAGGAAAAGGATCCTCCATGACAGATCAAGAAGCAGAACTGGGACAAATTACAGAATAAGATGCTGCTTCCACATCTCCCTTTAAGTTTTCATCTGATGGGAAGAGATAAAAACAACCCCCCAAACAAACCAACAAAAAAAAAATCCCAAAATAAACCAACAAAACCCAGCAGAACCAGGTATTTCAAGTCCTCAAGCCATCACTTTAATAAGGCTCTTCCACAGGAAAATTCATCTGGCTCACCTAAAAAGGCACAGTGTCTGTATGAATTAAAAGAGGGAAAATACACACTACATGTTTCAGAAGTCCAAAAAATCCATGGAGGTGAAGAGTGATAACAGAAATGTGATTTCAGTCAGGAAAAATAAAGAAGTAATTTCTGCTCTCAGAACAAATTACAAAGAGAACTCAATTTATCAGTAATAACACATAAAATGTTCCTTCACTTACCAATAAAGAAAAACTGTTCTGCTAATTAAAGTTCAACAAAAAAAAGCTTAACTCAGCTTCTACCACTCACAATTTCTGTGCTGTGAAAGCCAAACCTACCACAGTCTGATTGCCTTGGTTTGCATCCCAAGGAGGGGGAGAGAATGTGGGGATCCTTTGTACACTTTCCCCTCTTCTAAGTTTCAACTGAATGTTTAAAATCAGCTCCTCACTGTGGACCAAGAAGCTGCCCAGCACCCCCAGACTGTCCCTGTCCAACAAGCTTTGCCGTTTAAGAAAAAAAAAAAAAAACCAAAATCAAAAAAGAGTGTTTTCATTCACAATCTGTTATGGCTCAAAAGTACTAAAACAAATGAAATTAAAACACATCATTTTAAAACCTCCCTGTTCTACCAATCAGTCTCAGAAAATAATACAAACTTGCCAAGTATCACTTGCTTATTTTTTTTTATTTTTATAAAGGAATGTGTCTTATATAAATAATGGTGAGGGGGTGTATTTTATCCTTAGCCTTGATTCAATTATACTATTTATTAAGAACAACATCAGAAGCCCTCAACAATCAAACCATCCCAAGCCATGGTGATACACTCAATCTGTCAGTGGTGATATTCTTTTTTAGGGTATTTTTCTGTCTTACAACTGAATTGGGGTTTTTTTCTTCAACAAAAACCTAAATATGCTATTTTAAAACTTCATCTCAAGCTTACTGTACCTCTGATAATGCAAAAATCCTATTACCTGGTTAACTCTTACTCATTTTGTCATTAATTGGGAACCAGCCTTGCAACCGTTTCCCTGCAGTTATTTCTTAATTTCCATCGATGATACGTTTAAATCACATTACTATAATCAAACAATACTTTGCCTAACAGTGCACTGAGGCCAAAGCAACTGCACCCAATTTGGAAATTAATGAAAGGACATGGCCCACCCCAGGAGGGGCAACATATATCCTCTTCCTGCTTGGGGATTCGCCCTAAAAATATATGTGCAGTGTCTTGGAAGGGCTGTGCAGTGCAAAGTCTCCTGTTTTCAGTCTCAGGGCCGTTCCAGGGTGTAAATGGTGCTCCCAGGACCTGTGTTAAACCTCCCAACTCCACTCCACTCTCCCTGCCAAAGCCTCCTGCAGAAAACAAAAACACAGGCTCATCTGCCCACCCTCCAACTGCTGCGAGGGGGCAATTTTACAACAGCCGTTAAACCCTCCCGATTTATTTTCCCACCCCTCCGCAAACCCCTGTTTTCCGGGGTTGTTATTCCCCGGCCGTGCCCCTCCCGCCCCGCCCGGTACAAAAACAAAGCTGCCTCCCACCCCCCCCTGCATCCCCCCCGGAGCACCCCGGGGGTTGTGCGAGGCATCCCCGGCTCTGCGGGCCGGTCGCTGGGCCCGGCGGGGCCCGGGGCGGCTCCTCCCGCCCGCGGGGCGCGGGGGCCGCGGCGGCTCCGGGGTCCGGCCGCCAACACCCCCCGAGCGGCGGCCGCCGCAGGCCCTCGGCGGGCACAGGGCCCGCTCCCGCCGGCCCCGCGCGGCCCCGCGGCCCCGCAGCGCCCGCCCCGCGGCCCGCGGCGCTCCGCGGGGGTCCCGGGCGAGCGGCGGGGCCGGCGCGGGCCGGGCCGGGCCGCGCTCGGTGCCCGCGGGGGCGGACGGGGAAGTCCCGACTTACCTGTCATTACTTTCTACGCCATCTTGGATCCACTTGTCAACGTCCCACAAAGCATTGTGGGAAAGGCCGGCCCTCCCCGCCCGCCGCCGGCTCGGGAGGCGGGGGACACCGTGAGGGGACGGGACGGGAGCGGAGCGCGATGGGAACGGGAACGGGGGAACGGGAACGGGGAACCGGGATAGGGATGGGGAGAGGGAACGGGAGGGGATGGGAACGGGAATGGGGAACCAGGAACGAGATGGGATGGGAACGGGAACAGGGGAACGGGGACGGGATGGAGATGGGGAGAAGGAATGGGAACGGGAACAGGGAACCGGGAACGGGATGGGATGGGATGGGACGGGATGGGATAGGAACGGGAACAGGAACAGGGAACCGGGGACGGGATGGGATGGGAACCGGGAACGGGATGGGATGGGAACGGGAACAGGGAAACGGGGACGGGATGGGATGGGAACGGGAACCAGGATAGGGAGCAGGAACCAGGAACGGGACTTGGACCGAGATCGGGACGGGAACGGGATGGGGAGTGGAAACTAGGAACCGGGAATGGGATGGGGAGGGGAACGGGATGGGAACCAGGGACCGGGACGGGGACGGGGACCCGGGGGTCCGGGGTCCCCTCACGGATCGGATCCGGGGGCACCGCCCGCGTTGGAAACCGGCAACCTCCTTGTTTTCTTCATTTTTAATTTTTCCCTTTTTTTTTCGCCCCATCCCCTTTCCTGGGGCTCGGGGGCGCAGCTGCGGAGCCCGAGAGGCGCTGGCGGGCAGGACAGGGATCCCACCCCTGAAAAAAAGCATGGAAGTGGCTTTTTCTCATGGTAATTTTACTGAGCGAGTTGGATTATTTGTGTCGGATTGGGGTTTTTTTTAGTTCTTATTCTGTATGTTTTTTTTAAAGTTCCTTCCCTCGAAGCAATGTCCCGAGGCTGGGTCCGGGGACTGCAGCAGGGGATGGAGCAGCTCCCGTTGTACATCGTGTTTTCCCAACCCATCCACCCGTGCCCGGGGACTGTTGGTAACAAGGTCCCGGCCGTGCGTGAATCCCAGAAACTGCTTTGCATAACAGTTTTATTTTCACGGAGTAATCTTCCCTGTTAGCTGCGTTTTCAAAATGTTTGGCAATCGGTCCTTAATACCTACGCTGTTTTGCAAACTGGCTTTTTCAAGGCGTTGCTGGCCCAGCTGCCGGGGGGGCGTGCCCTGTGCTCTGTGATTTAGGGCAAAGTGGACAAAAAATTGGGGAAAGAACAGCTTACTTCAGGATCTTTATCACCAAGACAGGGTTCCAGTGTTTTTGGAAAACTTCTCCTTCCACTTTAATTAAAATAATTAAAAGATCCAGATCATTTTAGTATTGGATTTTCCTAAATACATTTGTATTAAAATTTACGTTTAATGCCTCCTAAGTCTTTGAAGAATAACCACCAGCCAAGCCTCTGATGCACTGCCACTGCAAGAAGATACTTGTACCCAAGAAGGTTTTCAATATTCATCAGTGATGCATTTATAAAGAGACAGCTCCTTGCAAAAATGTAAATACAGGAAGAAATAAACCTAAATAAATCCTTTGCATTTGCAGCCCCAGACTTAAATCAGTCCACTTTTTAATTCAACTTTAGAAATAGGGTTGGGAGTACAGTTACCTGGGTCAGGGCCATGCCAGAGGGGAGTGTGCATGGTCCCAGCCTAACCAGGAGACAGGATTTCAGGAGGATACAAACACTCTCTAGAACCTGCCCTAGGCCATCTCTGCTGCCCCTGCCTCAGACACCTCCCCAGAGCTGTGACTTGTGTTTTCCATGGGCACTGTGCAAGGAATGGGGATCAGATGAAGCTGAAACCATGTTTAGGATCTAACTTTGTGCCTCATTCAGTCCAGGTTGGTGAAGTGGAATTAGTCCCTTTTGGAGGTTGGTTGTGGTTGTTCCTAGTGAGCTTTATATTACTGATAAATTTTTCTGATATAAAATGCAAAGGTTTTCTTTAAAATAAATGATAATTTTTTTTAAAAGCAGTGGAAAATAGGATTTGTATTCTCTGCATATTTTTAGATATAAACACACATATATCCTCTGGAGTTCAGATTGGAGAAGACAGAAATTTGATGGGTTTATTTTTCCCATAAGCTTTTTTTGAGCCCATTTGTTCTGAGTGTATTTCTTTATGATGTGCCAGGAAAAAAACTGTGTGGCAGTGACTGAGTTATAGGAAGAAGGATCTGTTCAATGACAGACCCCGTTTTTATTGCTCTTTGTCTCTGGTGATTTAAAGTTCCAGGCTGAAAGTACCAAGTGGCAAAGGCTGCTGTAAAAAGGTGGCAACTCTGCCCTGTAGGAACAGCTCAGAAGGGAGCTGGGAAGGACTCTGGGAACAGGGAATCCCCACCTCAGGAAAAGTGCTGTAACACATAAAGTGGAGCCTCTGCCCTTGCACCCACTGCTTTTTATGATCTTGGTACTTAAATTAACCCTCTCAGCCCCCTGATGAAGGAGGTTTTACCCTATTTTGTGGACTGGTTAATGGTATTGAATAAACTCTCAGTGGACATGCCAGAGGCTGGACAGGGAGCCAGCAGCTCCTAGAGAGTGGCTGCCAAGCACTGCTCTGTCCAAGCCCTGCAAGGTTGGAATAACTCTCCTGTTTCCATGTGGTGCCCCCTCCAAGCTCTTTCAAGGTCTTTGTTACCAGAGAGAAAGATGAGGACTGTTAGTCCAAAACAAATTGGGGCTCCAAGTGCTCGTTAACCTTGGAAATGCTGCTCAAAGTGAGAATCCTACAGCAACTGGCTCGAGGGATGAGATCCCAAATCCAAAAGGCCTTAATAAACTAAATTTGGTTTCAGAGCCACTTTTCTGCCTCCTGTGCTGCTGTAACAGGATGTCCCAGGAACTGGTTACACATCTACATGGGAAGAAAGAGACTTTGTGTGGCTTTCAGTGATGTGTTTCAATACAGTATTAAAGGATAATTTAAGGAACTAAGTATATCCCATTAGCTGCTACTCTGGGAGGAACTCCATGAGATGTCTCTTCCTCTCTCCTTGATCCGTTTTACCCCAGTGGAAGCTGCAATTCTGGCTTCCAACCTCTGCAATCCAACACATCATTCCCAACTCCACAGGCTGAGTTGACAAGCCAGGTTCCCTCAGCACTGGGCGAGGCACAGAACCAGATGTGTTGGGTGCTGAGTGCTGCCTTGCATTTCCAGAATTGTCCAGACTTCCCAAGTTCCTGGAATCCCCATGTGCTCTGCTCACCCATGGGATTTCAGAACAAGAGGAGAGCTCACAGTTCTAGACCTCTGCCCAAGGAGACCAGGAGCAGCTGGGCACAGAGTCAGGGAGCAGAACAGAAGCAAGAGCGGATGTTGGAAATGTAAGGAATGCCAAAGGCACAATGGGGAAGCAGGAGATAGGAACAAAACCAAGGAATTCCCACTCAGCATCATGAGCCTTGACAGGAGCCAGATCCTCAAAAGCCTAACAGTGATATTTCTAGGGACTTGTCATAACAGTAAAATTAAAAAACAAAAACCCCCAACAATATCAAACTCAGATCCACTTTACACTTCTTAAGATTTCAAAATCTTTCCAATCTGCAAATTGCACTTCCCTGCTGGAAGTTTAGAAAGCCCACCCTGCCAGGGACCAGATCTGCAAGGAATGCCTGTGCAGAAGCACTAACAGATCCTGTGTCCCTGACTCTTTAGTCAGGATTCCATAAATTATGCTGGTTCACAGGGCCTCTCCCTGTTCTGCAGAGCAAGGAGCCATGCCCAGGTCCTTGGAGAATTTAGGATCCTGGCCAAAAAGCAGGAGTTTGAAAAGCTGGGGCCACTCAGAACTGCCCAGCTCCCTGCCACGAGGCCAAGATCAGAGCAGAGCTCTGAAAGGTGTGGCACAGATTCTGGAAGAGTTGGGAACTCAAAGCCTCACTTGCTCCAGGGCTAATGGAGAGCTGGGAGCCAGAAAGCCCTGGAGTCTTGGCTCACCCATGGGCTGCACGCTTGGAATCACAGCTACAGCTTGGTTTCTGCATTTTCAAAACAAAACTGTTTTAATTGAAACTTACACTGCTGCTTTTTTTTCCTTCTCCTCAGACTTCTGTTTTCACAGGAAATTCAGAAAAATCAATTTCCATTCTCTGCTCGAGTTCCCTCCCGTTTCTGGGAACTGGCATTTCTTGAATACAGAAAACTTGATTTTTCAATCAGCCCCACTCATGATGTCTAATACAGGAAACCCCATTACAATTAACATGTAAAAGTAATAAGCACAGAATAGGATACGTTCAGCAGGGAATTGCCTCCCTGACCCTGCAGCCCAACATCCCACCAGGCTTCTTGAACGGATCGTTCACCCCTGAGAACAAAACAACAGGAGGCCCTTCTCAGTGAAGTGCCAGACTGATTGCAACAGGAGGAGCAATGTTTTTATTGTCTTAGCACACTGGACCTCTATAAATTTTTGAACTCCCTCAGAAGCACCAGTCATGGGAAACGAACAGAAGTTAAGTGGTTTACCCTCTGCCACAAACGAGGCAGTGGTAGACCTGAGGTTAGATAGCAACAGTAATTCTTAACCTTACTAAACAATAAAGCAGACTGTTTCTAGGCTGCCATTAATGGCTGGTTATTAGGCTGAAGAGTAGCAAGTTTTGATTTTCCAGCAGGAAAATTCCCCTGGAATTCCTCCAGAGTCCTCTAATGAACAGATGATCTCAACTTTAATCTTACTTCATAATTATCCAAGGGTAATATTTCAACGTGAACTCCTTAAACACATACAATTTCTAGAGCAAGTAATACTCAAACTAATGCATTTCTCCTTTGATCCACAAAATGAGAGTGTTGAGAAGCAACCAGCAATCAGGGGATGTTGAGGGTACACTGAGGAGAGAGACACTACAAAGGTCAGAGTAATGTGATGGTTTGATCCCACACTATCAAGATCAAAGATCTTCGGTCCCTGTACATTTTTTTTTAAAGAAGCCAGAATGTCTTTATGCTGACCTTTAAATTGCCCATGGAGGAGCTCTAGCTGACATGTATCTGCCTTCCTGGCACCAAAAGTTCACAGCTTTTTTCTTAGGAATCTGAATATGGCAACCTTGTCCAGAGAGACTCAAGATACTCATTTCATTTTCATCCACAGTAGTCTGCAAACAAACAAAAACCCCCTGAAATAATAAAACCAAACTTCAGGCTAAATAGATTGTTTTCCACTCAGTTGGACTTACCCTACAGCCTATAATTCTACAATCTTGTTTTAAAACTTCTAACTGTGATGTGTGGGGAGGGAAACCTGAGGGATTCTTGCTTCTGGCACCAAGCACTCAGCACACAGCAGGAATGTCTCACTCAGGACAGAGGTAGGGAGGGAGCCTGCCTTGGGCAGTATGTTCCAAAACAAGACCAAGGTGATTTAAGTGAGAACAAAACTCTGTTTTGGATCAAAAGGCAGAAAGCCTGATCACTGTGGATCTTTGGCATGAATACAGAGCATGAAAGTGAACCTTCACAGTCCCTCTGAATCGAGTTTTAAAGAGATACCTGGACTGTCCAAAGGTAAGTTCTTTCCAGTGCTGACAGCAAAAAGTAGTTGTGAGGGGGGAGAAACCACCTCCTTTCTCCCAACAAACTGATGCTCTAAATACAAGCAAAAGCAGCACAGAGGGATAGAGCCAGGCCAGAGAGGGAGTTCTTGCAAGGAGAATCTGCAAGAAGCTCAGAAAGCAGGGCCAGGAACACTGAACCATTCCACTCCAGGACAAAAAGGACAAGAGGGCTGGCTGGGGAAACAGGCCCAACATATCTCATCTGGCAGAAGCATCAGAGTGGATAAGCTTTAAAGCTTGGGGCTGAAGATTCCAGACCAGATTGCAAATGGAAGGAAAATGTTTATGATAAGAACAGGGAGAGGCAAGTTCCCACTTCCCCTGATGACCCATTGTTCTCCTTTCTGATGGCTATTGCCTGTTCCCAGCACATTGGCTGGGGTTTAAGTTCCTCTGTCCCTTATCCTGGCAGGAGCCAGGTTTGCTTATGTTACTGAGGCCTCACAACAACCAGAACATCCCACGCTCAGGCAGGGCTGTGACAAGGTTTTACACAACTTGTTCCAATAATACAAGTTAGGAAGTGAGATGCTGAGCATTCTGTGCATTCTGAACAGCTGCTCCTCTCTCTCCCTTCCCTCACTGATAGTTCAGCTGCTTTTTTGTTGCTCAAGTGCAGCGAGCTGGATTGGTGGGGCTTTTAAAGTTACAAGCCTCCAAAATGACATTCCCAAATCTCCCATAAGTATGTCCAAAGTCTGCATTTCCAATGCAAACCTGCTCACAGGCTTCCATCTTTTCCTGTGCCTTCACAGACCTCCCTCACTCGAAATCCCTGCTTGGTTTCCAGACTTCCTGGGTATTCACATGATAAGAGTGTTGGTCTGAATGAAGTTCAGTGTCCTTCTGAAGAGATGGGATCTAAACACATCTCGATACATCATTTACAATTGGAGGCTCTACCTAATTAATTATGAGCAGAGTGGTTATGGCTAGCATTAAAAAGCATTCAAAACCAGAGCAAATTCAAGCAGAGT